AGACCAATGACCTTCGCAACCCAGGCCAACATGGATTTCGAGCGGGAAGATTGTGCCTCTCACAGTTACTTGAGCACTACGACAAAGTCACTGAGGCATTAGAAGAGAAACAGAATGCTGATGTGATATACACGGACTTCGCAAAGGCTTTCGATAAATGTGACCATGGCGTGATAGCACACAAAATGAAGTCAATGGGAATAACCGGTAAAGTAGGACGCTGGATACTCAGTTTTCTGGGAGCCGGTCAGCCGAGCGGACAGCACGCTGGACTTGTGATCCTGTGGTCCTGGGTTCGATCCCAGGCGCCGGCGAGAAACAATGGCAGAGTTTCTTTCACCCTATGCCCCTGTTACCTAGCAGTAAAATAGGTACCTGGGTGTTAGTCAGCTGTCACGGGCTGCTTCCTGGGGGTGGAGGCCTGGTCGAAGACCGGGCCGCGGGGACACTAAAGCCCCGAAATCATCTCAAGATAACCTCAAGATAACCTTCTGTCAAACAGGACTCAGCGAGTAACTGTCAACCATATAAAATCTAGTCCAAGTGCAGTGAAAAGCTCTGTACCTCAGGGTACAGTCCTTGCACCGCTGCTTTTCCTTATTCTCATATCAGATATAGACAAAAATACAAGTCACAGCTTCGTATCATCCTTTGCAGATGACACAAAAATCAGTATGAAAATTACCTCGGCTGAGGACATCAAAACACAATCAAATGTACCCATAGTAGGAAAACAGCATGTAAAGGATTTGGGAATAATAATGTCTGACGACCTAACGTTTAAGGAGCATAACCAAGCAAATATTGCGACAGCCAGAAAAATGATAGGATGGATTACGAGAACTTTCAAATCCAGGGATCCCATCACAATGGTTGTACTCTTCAAGTCACTTGTGTTGTCCCGTCTTGAGTACTGCTCAGTACTCACTTCCCCCTTCAGAGCAGGAGAGATTGCTGAAATAGAGGGAATACAGAGAACATATACGGCACGCATAGACGCAATAAAGCACCTAAATTATTGGGATCGTCTCAAAGCCCTCCAAATGTACTCACTAGAAAGAAGACGAGAGAGATATCAAATAATATACACCTGGAAGATACTGGAGGGCCAAGTACCAAATCTACACAGTAAAATAACAACGTACTGGAGTGAACGATATGGAAGAAAATGTAGAATAGAACCAGTGAAGAGCAGAGGTGCCATAGGCACAATCAGAGAACACTGTATAAACATCAGAGGTCCGCGGTTGTTCAACGTCCTCCCAGCAAGCATAAGAAATATTGCCGGAACAACCGTGGACATTTTCAAGAGGAAACTAGATTTATTCCTCCAAGGAGTGCCGGACCAACCGGGCTGTAGTGGGTATGTGGGCCTGCGGGCCGCTCCAAGCAACAGCCTGGTGGACCAAACTCTCACAAGTCAAGCCTGGCCTCGTGCCGGGCTTGGGGAGTAGAAGAACTCCCAGAACCCCATCAACCAGGTATCAACCAGGTATCAACCAGACAGAGTGCTGGGTAGATAGGACACCATGAGCGTAACTCTCATCCTGTAACTACACTTAGGTAATTACTTGGGTAATTACATGCTAGTCAGCTGACAACACTACCTCACTCTGTAAAATTCATGCTCCCAACATTCTATTCATATCACTAATTCTAGGCACAATGTTGCTATTATCAAAATCCTGTAAATTAATAATTTTCCACAAGTTTATTTTGTAAAGAAACACTAGCTTTCATTTCAAGAAGCTATGTTAAATGAAACAATGGCAGTGCTGTGAACATTATAAAAAGCATTGTGTTCACTGATTGCTGAACATTATAGTAGTAGTAGGCATCCATCAGTCTCAGGAGACTATGGTGTTGCGCTCTGATGTCGGCCTGGTCTGGAGTGGCCTCACCAGGGCGCAAAGCCAGGGTAGGTTGATTCGGGGAAGGAGCTGTTACCGAGGCAGCAGGTTCCCCCCTCTCCACGGTGCTGAAAGTCTCCAATGGAAAGGCATACGCCAATGCGATTGGTTCCAGCGCCGTCGCAGGAACTGTGAGTTCCGGGGATGACCTCGAAGTTGGTGAAGAAGGGCACAAGGACCTCCAACCCCGGAGACCGCTGTGGTCGGGGCCGGAGAAGAACCACCCCATCAAGGGTATGAACGACCCCAGCTTCCTGGAGAGCCTAGGTCACATGACCCTCGGAAGGTGGACGTCCCGGTCCCGCACGTACGGGTTCCAGACAAAGATCGTCACAGCCCCCTTTCACCCGAGGCCGGCCTCCTTACATTGTACACAGTCATTATCACAGTCTGGCTCTTCAATGATACTATCATTGCAAAATAATAGCAGTTTCATACATATTTTGTAATTTTTAAGTGATGCTGTGGTCACAAGCTGAACAGCGGTGCTGTTTGCTTGTACTGCATGTTCCTGCCTTCATTGCTCACTCAGTACTGAGGCTTTCACACCTAGGACCAATGCTCACGATTTAAACAAAAATGGACAAAGGTGGAAAAGTTTCCACCTGTGTCCCCTTGTTTGTGTTCCACCCATGCTAATAGTTTTTCTTTGTCCATCCTATCAGTTCCTCTTGAGTATTTTATAGGTGGTGATTATGTCTCCCCAAACTCTTGTGTCTTCCAGGGTCATGAGGTTTAATTTCAAAGTCTTTTCTTGTAACTCATACCTTTCAGCTCCAGGACTAGTGTGGGGGCATACCTATGAATCTTTTCTAACTTTGTCTTGTGTTTAACTAGGTATGTACTCCAGGCTGGAGCTGCATACTCCAGTATTGGTCTGACATACATGGCATACAATGTTCTGAATGATTCCTAATACAAGTGTTTTAAGACAGTTCTTACGTTGGCCAATCTAGCATAAGCCACTTTTGATATCCTTTTGATATGGGCTTTTGAGGACATCTTTGGTATAATATCAACCCCCAGATCTTTTTACTTGATTCTTGCAGGATTTCACCTCCCAGATGGTACCTTATGTTTGGACTCCTGCTTCCATCACCTAATTTCATTACTTTACACTTAAGTTAAACTTTAGTAGCCATTTTCTAGACCATTCCTCCAGTTTGTCCAGGTCATCTTGTAGTCTCTGTCTATCTTCTTCTGCCTTGATTTTTCTCATAATTTTTGCATCACGAACAAACATTGAGAGGAATGAATCTATATCTTCTGGAAGATCATTTACATGTATCAGAAACAGGATGGGTCTAAATACAGAGCCCTGTGGGACTCTGCTGGTGACATCTCGTCACTCTGAGGTCTTCCCCCTCATGGTAACTCACTGTTTTCTGTTACTTAGTTACTCCCTTATCCACTGAAGCACCTTACCTGTTATTCCTGCCTGTTTCTTCAACTTTTCTATCAGCCTCTTATGCGGTATTGTGTTAAAGACTTTCAGACAGTCTAAGAAAATGCAGTCTACCCATCCTTCTCTTTCTTGCCTAATTTTTGTCGCCTGGTCATAGAATTCTATTAAACCTGTGAGGCACGATTTACCTTTCCTGAACCAATGCTGGTAATGTGTTGCAAAACTCCTTCTCTCCAGATGTTCTACGAGCCTTTTCCTCACAATCTTCTCCGTCATCTTGCATGTTACACAAGTTAGGGAAATTGGCCTGTAGTTCAGTGCCTCTTGCCTGTCACCCTTTTTGTATATTGGGACTACATTAGCTGTCTTCCAGCTTTCCAGTAGGTCTCTTGTTTCCAGTGACCTGTTATATACTATAGAGAGTGGCATGCACAGTGCTTCTGCACCCTCTTTTAGTATCCATGGTGAGATTCTGTCAGGTCTAGCAGCCTTTGTCACATTCAGCTCCAACAGATTCCTTTTGATCTAATCTCTGGTAGGCTCCACTTCCTCCATGGGTGCTTGGTTTACTGTCTCTGCTCTCAGTACAGGAACTTCTCCTTGCTCTCTTGTGAAGACCTCCTGGAATCTTTTGTCGAGTTCTTCGCATACCTTGTCATTCTTTGTGTATCTGTTCTCCCCTTTTCTCTGTTTCATTACTTGTTCCTTCACTGCTGTCTTCCTCCTGATGTGGCTGTGGAGCAGTTTTGGTTGGGTGTTTGCTTTACCCACGATGTCATTTTCATACTGTCTTTGTTTCTCTCCTACCACTGAGGGTTCCTGGCCCTCTAATATCTCCCTCTGCTGATGGTGTATGGGAACTGGTGCACATCTGACACACTTCATTAACAGCCATTATTAATGCTTGTTTCCTAGATAAACAACCAATAGTGCATTATAAACACTGTCATGAGTGGACTTTAAATTGTGGTTTTGAGACCATTTGTAAGGTCAGATGGCATAAGTCTAATGTTCATAAGTTGGGGTATCCATGTATATATTTCTAGTTTCTCAGTAATGTCTCACTTATTTGGTTTAGTACCTGCAGTACTTCTCCTGTGTTCTTTACCCTATATTTGTTAACAAAGTCTATCCTTTACCATTATCTTAATCTTCCTTTTCACCTACTGTGGTTCCGATGCATTATCAATGTGGTTTACCTTAATTAATTGTTTAGACATATATAAATATTAAAACAAAAATTAAAGTGCTGGCTACAGATTATTACAAATTTGAAATGTAAGTGGAAAAGTAAACGTGTATGTACAGTATTCATTCTGGTACAAAGTGTTTCTGGCAAATACTATTAATTCCATAGAGAAATTGCAGAACATATTCACACAGTCTTTAGCTACACTAGTAGGAATAATTATACTGCAAATTCTTAAGAGTTAGCCTTCTGTTATTTTTTAAGATTTCAGTTGCAGTAAAATTTAGAGAGAATCTCAAAATTTTCTCGCTTTCTTTATACATAGAAATGTAATATATTCCTTGTTAAACAAAGCCAAGGCTTCTAAAGTAAAGCCACTGAGGAACAAAGTTAGTAACAATGGGCATGCATATTCAAGATAATAATGTGCATGCACATTCAAGATGATAATGTGTATGCATATGCAAGATGATAAGTTTTATTTATTTTTGTACAGGTGGGACTTTATCAGGAGACCATAGTAGCATATGAGATGGTGCTGGCAGATGGCTCACTAGTGAGAGTGACCCGACACAATGAATATAGTGACCTTTATCACACGCTGCCTTGGTCACATGGCACACTTGGGTTCTTGGTGGCACTCGAGTTACAAATTATTAAGATAAAGGTGAATGTGGTTCATGATGCTCTAGTAATTATCTTGAATATTTGGTAAACAGGTAAAACTATTTTGTATTAGACTATTTATTTTTTGCTAGAAAGGACACCCGTCATTATTTTCTCTGGTGGGGGAGCCCCTTGTGGCTTCCTGAAGCTACTATCTATGATAGTGTACCATACTACTAGGTTCCATCAGATGCAGAACTTTATGATCTACAGTATAGGAGTCCATGAGCCTGAGCCTCACAGGTACAGGTAGCAGTTGCATATATATATTAAGTTATTCATTAATGCTTCCAATAACTAGGGCTCCCAAAATGTCACAGAAGCAAAACAAACCACTGTTGGCTTCGAACGAGACTGCAACCTCAAGAAATGGCTATCGAACTCCTCTAAAAATGTAAATAAACAACCAAAAGTTTGTGAAACTAGTGCCAGCTCATTTGCTCCACCTCACCCCCCTCATTTGGGGGAAGAAGGGAGGCAGTCAGGAGTCAGCTAGCTGCTCCACCTTCAATTCTCCTCTAATTGTAGTGTGTGCCAGGAGCCCTCTCTGTCGCTCTGACCCCAAGTATGTTTTCTTGTGGTGTTTTGTCTTAATGACTGTTTCTTAAGCATTTTGTGTACTGTGGACCAGGAGTTACGAGTGCTTCGAGCTGCATGTGCTCAGGGTTATCTTCCCTGTGTGCGTCCTAATGCTGCCCTTACACTGCCAGGGCTATCTTCCCTAGAGTGTTAGGGTTTTCCCTACATGTCTATAGGTGATGCTCCTGTAGAGGCATTCCTCGCTTGTGGGCGATAGAAGCTAAAAACCCCAGACTCACCCCGAGGCAAAGGGCACCACAAGTGAGATAGACCTCTAAAGGAGCGTCACCCAAATACTGCAGGGAAGGAAACCCTGACAGTGCAAGGGAAGCACTAGGGAGAATCCAGAGATGGAAACCTTGAACACATGCAGCTCCAAGTGTACCAAACTCTTGATGGCTCATCATGGCTGAATTCCGTACACACACACAAATGTGTACAGAATAGCCACCAAGGCAAAAGTACCCTAAGAAAAACACTGGGACCAGAGCAGCAGTGGCAAACCCGGTCTGGTACACACGAGAGGAGAACTGACAGTGGAGTGGCCTTTTTGCGGTGGCCTGCCCCCTCCTCCACTGAAACAAGGGGAGAGGTGGGGCGAAGCAGCCAGTGCTAGTTTCATGACATTTATCATTTGTTTACATAGTTTAGGGAGTTCTATGGGTGTTTTCGAGTAGATAGGTATCAAAGACAGCCAGCTGTGGTTTGTTTTGTCTCTTTGTCTTTTTAGGTGCTTTCCTTCATTGTGGCATAAATTAATAACCTAATACAGTATATAAATGTCACAGCTCCCTGCACCTCTGTTAGAGGACCAGGTTCTGGGGCAGGGTCTCCGGTAGGACAGAAAACTCTTCGACTGATGGCACCTACATCGGAGATGGTAGGATGGTAGCTTCAGGGAGCCACTAGGGGCTCCCACCAAAAATGAAATTTGTTATTTCTTAAATATTTGTATTTACAGTATCAACATTTCTGTTGTCTACTGTATATTTACTATAGCTATATTGAATATGCTGTGACATGTTTTCTGATAGGTTCCTTCAATAGTTCCTTTAGCTTAACCCCTGCATTGCACACTTGTTTCATGTGAAAATTTCATGCTGCTGTTGTTAACAAATTATTAACATTAGCTGAACTTTTTAATAATGAGAAACCATGTCAAAATGTTGTCAAACTCAGCAATTTTCATTTCAAATCACAAAGATTGTAAAAAGCACAAAAAAACACACATTTTAATAATAATAATAATAATTTATTTAGGAAAAGGAATCTAAATTACATTATTGCTAAATTATAAAAAAACCTGCTGAGGGCCCACTAGAGAAGGAAATTGTGTTAAATTCAATGCATGATTTAGATAACTTTTGTTTGATACAAAAAAATTTCAGCCTCATCTTAAGTTGGAATATATACCAGTTAAAGGTCAAGAGAAATATTGTGATATGATTCGAGATTTGTCTGGAGCATTGGATAAAAACCGTTTGACGCCAGATTATCTGGAGGCTACAGTCTACAATAAAGAAGAAGCCGTTGTCATGGTTGGGAAATTTGCTGACGTACCTCATAATGAGCAACATAAGGTAAATATACTTTTGCTAAAGTAACTGATAAGCTATCTAGGAATAAGATTTAATATCTGTGTGTAATTATGTAATTACTGTATATTGTGAAGTAACCCATCACACATATCTGATATTGATATTCACTGATACTCTCTAAATTGATACTGATACTGATATTCACTAAATCTGAAATTAACCGCAACACTGTGCCACTATTTATAGCTGACATCCCTCTAGTGCCAGGAAAAAAAATTTCCCAATTATTTTTCCTTTTAATATTGTTAAAATGTGTTCAAACCAAAACTTGGTCCTCTCTAGAAAGGTGCAGGGAGCAATGGCACTTACAATGAAACTTCTATGAATTTATTCATGACTGCTACCACCAAGGAAGGCACCCAGATAGTCAGTGAAACAAAACAGATTACTGTTGATTATAAATCAGACTACAGCCACAAGAACTGCCAAAAGAACTTCCCCAGCAATATAAGCAAATGATCGAAAATTATAAAACTAGCATGAGCTCGTTTGCCCCTCCTCCACATTCGTTGGGGAAGGGGATGGGTGAAGGAAGGAGGCAGACTGGGTCAGTCGGCTGTTGTTGTTGTTAAAAATTTAGCTATTCAGAACGGAGTATTCATGTAGCACGGGCTATGGTGAGCCCGTAAGGTCAGTCGGCTGCTCTACCCTCAGTTTTATTGCTGATGTTCTGGTGCCTGGTTATCCTCTCTGTTGCTCTGGTTCTAGTGTCTTGTATTCACCTAAGTGGTGTTTGTGCCTTTGTGGTTGTTCCTGTACACTTTTGTGCAGTATGAACTAGGAGTAAGGTGCAAGAACAAGAGGTCATAGATTTAAGCTAACTAAACCAAGCTGCCAAAGAAATCCAAGAAAACTCACTTTCACAAACAGAGGGTGGTAAATGGTTGGAACAAGTTAACTGAAAAAATTTTGGAGGCCACAACCATCAGTTGTGGCTATGACAAAGAGTGCTAGGAAGACGGGACACCACGAGCATAGCTCTCATCCTGTAACTACACATAGATAATTACACTTAATTAATAACGCACACTGCATATCCCTGACAAAATGAAGTATTATATTATATCCAGAAATGATCTTTCATATTATGATGAACAGTCTGTTTAATTACAAATTCTTACCATGTTCTATTGCACAGTAATACCAAATCCGTACATTATAATGTTAAGAAATATGTAATTTCATATTTATTAAGAAATATGTAATTTCATATTTACAATTACAGTTAACTGATATAAATAAGGAAATCTAAAACAAATGAGCATAAAAATATGGCCCATATTGAATGACACTTATTGAAATATTTTACACAAAACCTATTCTTAGTTGCTTATACAATATTGTAATGTTATTTTCCAGATAAATCGATTGACAAGATGGTACAAACCCTGGTTTTATAAGCATGTAGAAGGGTTCCTGAAGAAGGGAAGAGGCTATGAATACATACCTTTGGAGGACTACCTCCTTCGACACAACAGATCAATATTTTGGGTTATAGAAACAATGATTCCCTTTGGCAATAATCCTGTCTTCAGGTTCTTATTTGGCTGGTTATTGCCTCCCAAAATTGCCTTCCTTAAATTCACCACTACACCTGGAGTGAGGGCCATGACCTTTACAAAGCAGGTAGGTCGTGTGTTTTCAAAACCAAATTTTCTGGTAGGGAGCCCTTTTTGCCTCCCTGAAGCTACCATCTTTTATTCATTTATGACACCACCAAGGAAGGTACCCAGAAAGTCAGTGAGTCAAAACAAACTACAGCTGGCTGCTTCCAAGACCTGCAAGCTCAAAAATGGCCATAGAACTCCCCAAACTATGTAAACAAATGATGGAAATGTTACAAAACTAGTTCCTGATCATTCGCCCCACCCTCCCCTTGTTTAGGGAGGAGGAGGAGGAGAAGGGGAGGGCAGGCCACGGCTCGCATGCCACACCACCATCAGTTCTTCCCCGATGTGTACCAGGTCTGCCGCTGTTGCTCTGATCCTAGTGTTTTTCTTGGGTTTATTTTACCTTAGTGGCTGTTTCATACAGTTTTGTGTGCATGGGCCAGGAGTTTAGTGCACTTGGAGCTGCATGTATTCAGGGTTACCTTCCCTGCGCACTCCCTAGTGCTTTCCTTGTACTGCCACGATTTTCTTCCCTGGAGTGTTCGAGTGGTGTTTCTTTTGAGGTCCACCTCACTTTTGGTAGCCTTCAGCTTGAGGTGAGTCTGGGGTTTTTCACTTCCTTTTTTGCCTCAGTTGGAACATCTTGGCTGGTGAGGCACATTGGGTTACATGCGGGTTACACTTCAGTGCACCAAGGTAGGTTTTCCCAGTCATCTGGGCTAGGCTGGGTTAATTTACATAAAATGTTTAAGAGTACTGGCATAGTATCTCAGTACCTGGGTGTCCTGTTTGGATTGTAACCTTCAGGTCCTGGACTTCCCCTGCAGGTTAGGTGGTCAGAGAACCCTCCCCCCCCCCCAAGCCTACTCTCGCTATATGCAAGTTTGAAGCATGCACATTGTCAGTGCCAATTGGTAATGTTCATTCTTTCTGCCTCTGCCATGCTGCCTGTTGGGTCAGTAAGACCTTCAACCCAGAGTCATGTGGGGAGTGCTCCCGTCATGTTACTCTTCTTTCTAGTTCTCCTGATGGGGTCGTTTTTTTGAATTTTGAATTTTTGAATGAATGTCGTCAAAATTTGAATTTTGAATTTGAATTTGATGATGCTTGGGCTTATCAGGCAGTGACCACTCTTTGTCTGAGGTTCTCTGCTGCAGTAGTCTAGGTTGTGTGGCTGTTTAGATGCCCAGGCTCTGCCCTGTTTAGTTTTTAGGGATCTGGTTTTGGAGGTGTTGGTCAATTCAGCCTTGGCTCTACCTGCACCACCTCTTCCTTACTTGTTGGACTTTGTTCACTCCTCTTCTGTCACTCCTGATTGATTGATAGGATGGTGGGACCCTCTGCTGCAATTTCCCAGGTGTGGGGGAGTCAGAATTGGGGCCATGGCTTCCCTTTGACACTTCGTGGTTTCCAGTGTCTTCCACAGATGGTGTAATGTTGTAGAGAATGATGTTTTTGTATCCTCCCTTTCTCTATGAGCTGGATTTAAGTGCGGCTTTCCCCTGGGATCGCTTTCGGGTAACTTTGGGTTCTCTGGGGCATCCTTCCGGAGATTTCCTTCCCTTTGACTTCCCCCTTTGGAGGCTCGTCAGGCACTTTTGACATACCTCCTGTGTGACCCAGTTTATGCTTTTCCAATGGACCCACCCTCCTTTGAGTTTGGGTCTTCTTTCCCCTACTGGGTGCATTACAAGGTTCCAGAACCATCCTGACTAGCAGGCAATCCTCTCTTTTTCCTCGAGTTTGTGGCGGTTTCCTCCCTTGTTTGCCTTGGGGTAAGTGGTAGTTATTGCACTGGTGGGACATGGGGTACTACGTAGCTAGTTTTCACCTATAGCAGCGACCAGCTCTGTTCCTCCTGGGTACGTTGTCCTTTTGCAGGGTTTTTATTTTTATTTTTGTTTCTTCCTGGTGGTGGGTCTGCACTTGTTCCCCTACCCCCAGTTATATTAGGGTCTTGACCTCCTGTGTTCGGTGGTACCCCCTGCTTGGCCCCCGTGAGTGGACACGTCCTGGGGGGAACGGGGGGTTCAGTTTTAGAAGGTTGTTTGGTAGATTTGGGTGCTGGTTAGCAGTACCCCGCATGGGCTTACCCTTAGCAATAATAGTCTAAGGGCCCAGGGAAACCCCGCGGGGGCGCAAGGGGCCCAATGGATGCGACCCCTGGGTCCCCTCTCACCTTGTGCCAGTTTGAGGGTTGCTCTGTTCCCTTGTCTCAGGGTGATGCTCTGGGTACGTTGTCCTCTTGCGAGGTTTTTCTTTTCTTTTTGCCTGGGGGGGGGGGGGGTCTGCCTTGTGTTCTCCCACCCTCCTTATATTAGGGTTGTTTTGTGTGGTGGAACCCCCCTGTTTCACCCTCGTGAGTGGACATGTCCCGTGGGTTCAGCTTTTAGCAGTTTGCTTGGTAGTTTGGGGAGCCGGTTAGCAGTACCCTGCCTGGGATAACCCTTAGGAGACCCAGTCTAGGGGCCTTGGAAAACCCTGCGGGGGCTCTTGGGTCCGATGGACGAGACCCCTGCGTCCCCTCTCGCTTTGTGCGAGTTTGAGGGTTGCTCTGTCCCCTTGTCTCAGGACAATACTCATTGTTTTTGCCTCTGTCATGCTGCTTGTTGGGTCGGTGACACATTCAACCCTGAGTCATGCGAACTTTGTTGCTTGTTTGTGACTCGATTCATCCAGACTGATGATAATTTTCTTCGGGTGCAGGCAGCACGCGCATTGCAGGATAGGTTTAGGTTATTGCAACACGCTCGGGTTGTCACTTCCCCGGACGCCCCGAGGCTGCCCCGCTTTGCCTATAAGGACTTGAAGCGGGGGAGGGGGGGGTGTTGGTCGCTTCGGCCTTGGTTCCGTCCGTGCCCCCTCATTTTTCCGATCACTGGCGCGAGGGTCTGGGCCTCCCCCTTCCCCCTCCCAGGGAGGGGGGAGCTGCGCAGACATGCAGTACAGCTCGTGTGAAGTCTTGCTTGTGTGCTCGTTTTTCTTTTGGGGAGTCCTGTCCACTCGTTTGACGATTTTCATTGTTAACCAGAATAGGGGTTTGTTTTGTAGAGCTTACCTTTCTGGGTACCTGTCCCTGTCGATGGCAGATATAGAATGCTCCAAATCACGTGTGTGATTCTATGGGCCATTGCTCCTCGTGTCTCTGTGAAGGGGGGGCCAGGTTCTGGCTCGTGGTCCCCAGTAGGCCTAGAACTCTACCCACATCGACTGATGCAAAATAATTAGGGTATCCACATCAGCCATGGATAGCTCCAGAGAGCCTCCGTGACCCACTCAGAAAATGGCGTTTCATTACATTCAACGCTGGTTTTTTGCCATTTGGTGATAGAGATGGTCTGCCTAGCCTCTTATTAGGCTAGCCTAGGTGGTGTTGGTGGTCCCACTCTGTTGCCCCCGAGGGTTCACAGCTTCCTGCTGGCAGTCAGTTTGCCCGCTTCTAGACAGGGATTCTGCTGGCTTAACTGGCCCCAGGCACTGAAGAGTAATATAAAACAGTAACATTTTCACTTAAGAGTAATATAAAATAGTAACTTATTCAAACTTGGTCTTTTCACACTGCAACACCTTGTGGCAGTTTCCTACAATTTCTCAATGTGAACTGGAAATAATTGAAATTTCTTGGGTAGACAAACATTTACTAGAATTTAGTAAATTCTTAATGCATGAAAATGGTTACCATATTTATGAAGATGCTGCATGAGGCAACTCTTAAAATGGGAATGAAAAAATTTCAAGAAAGAGGTAAGACATCATACTGTAAAATAAATGATTTGCCAGACATCATACTGTAAAATAAATAATTTGCCATTTATTTTTCCTTATATTTTCAGGTGTTCCAAGATATTGTGCTTCCCATGAAACAGTTAGAAGATCAAATTGATAAGTGTGAGGAACTTTTCGACCTCTATCCTATACTTATATATCCCTGCCGTTTGTACGACCATGGGCCCCACAGGTAACATGTGAAGTCATTATCTGTAGTTCATACTAGGTTAATAAGAGATAATGTGTATAAAATGTTATTTCTCGGAGGGCTCCCAAGCTGGCTTCCTTTTGCTAGCAACCTGGATAGCTGCACCCAGTTCAAATCACACTTGGCCCTTGCAAGTCATTGTAAGCCTGCCAGGGACCTGAGGCCAAAACCTGGCCCCCTCTATTGAGGCACAGTTGCAACTACAGGCATACCTCAGAATGCGAGTTTAATCCGTTCCTGGAGACGCCTCGCCTTCCGAAAACTCGCATTCCGAAGTTAATTTCCCCATAAGAAATAAAGGGAAATGAATTAATCCGTTCCTGACTACCCCAAAAACCCCACATCAAACTAAATTTTTATACCTAATTTACCTAATTCATCTAAATAAACCTACAAAACTATGTTCCAGTTATTACTTACCTTGCTGTCGAGTGCTGTAGGCGTATGGAAGATGGTGAGGAGGGGGGAGGAGGAGAGGAGTTACTGTTTGGAAGGGGAGTCCCCTTCCATAATTACATCAGGCAGTGAGGACCTTTCTGGTGTGCTCTCCCTGGGACGTTTAACCTGAGTGCCACTAGGTCCTGGTTGAGGCTCACTGCTCGATTTCCTCACCACAAATCTGTCCATGGAAGCTTGCTTTTCCCTTCTTCGCAAGCTCTCTCTGTAGTAAGGCATCACATTGTCATTGAAAAGATTAAGACAACGGCCTACTACAGCTTTCTCTGGGTGAGTCTGTTCAATAGTTGTTTGAATCTCTTCCCACATCTGACACACCTTCTTAATTACTGCAGAAGGGACACTCGCTGGTGCTGTTGGTGCTGCTGCCACCTCCTCCTCCACTGCAGAATCATTCGCTGCTGTGTTGGCTTGCTGTTCCTGTTGAAGGGCTAGGAGTTCTTCGGTGGTCAGTTCTTCGTTGTGTTCTTCCACCAACTCCTCCACATCATCACCATCCAATTCCAAGCCCATTTGCTGGCCTAGACTAACAATTTCCTCAACAATAGGCGCATCATTTATAGGCTCAAACCCCTCAAAGTCTAGTTCTCTCACACCTTCAGGCCACAATTTTCTCCAGCCAGAGATCAAGGTTCTTTGAGTCACTTCTTGCCAGGCTTTGTCAACGAGTTTTAAAGCACTACAAATGTTAAAATGCTCTCTCCAGAATTCTTTGAGGGTGAGGTTTGTGGCTTCAGTCACTTCAAAACATTTCCGGAAAAGTGCCCTTTCATACAGTTTCTTAAAATTCGCTATGATTTTCTGGTCCATAGGCTGAATTAGAGGAGTGGTGTTAGGAGGAAGGAATTTAACTGTGAGGAATTTATTGTATTGAGGCATCAAATCATCTTCCAAGCCTGGAGGATGAGCAGGAACATTGTCAAGGAGAAGCACGGCTTTGAGTGGCAATTGTTTCTCCTGCAGATATTTTTCTATGGCAGGGCACAGCACTTCATTCACCCACTCCGAAAAAATAAGCCTAGTGACCCATGCTTTTTTATTAGACTTCCACATCACACACAAATGGGTTTTCTGCACATTATACTGTTTGAAAACCCTTGGATTTTCAGAATGATACACTAGCAAGGGTTTAATTTTCAAATCGCCACTCGCATTTGAACACAGCACAAACGTAAACCTATCTTTCATAGGCTTGTGTCCAGGCAAGGATTTTTCCTCCTTGGTAATGTATGTCCTCTTAGGCATTCTTTTCCAAAACAGTCCTGTTTCGTCACAATTAAACACTTGTTGCGATAGGTATCCCTCAGCCTGTGCAAACTCTTTAAATTCGTCAATAAATCGTCCAGCGGCTGGTTTGTCTGAGCTGGCTGCCTCCCCATGCCTTGTAACACTATGGATACCACTACTCTTTCTAAATTTTTCAAACCAGCCCCTGCTTGCCTTAAACTCTTTCTTATCTGCATCACTCGTTGCAGGGGTCTTTAGAAGGTCTTCGTGCAACACCCTGGCTTTCTCACAAATAATGGCCTCCGAAACACTATCACCCCTCAACTCCTTGTCGTGTATCCAAATTAATAACAACTTTTCCACTTCTTCAAGTATTTGTGGTCTTTGTGCCGTTAATGTTCTTACTCCCTTTGCCACATTAGCACTCATAATCTTATTTTTCTTCTTAAGTATAGTGCATATTGTTGATGTGGCTTTGTTGTACTGCCTACAAAGTTCAACAACACGTGTACCGTTCTCATGCTTCCGAATGATCTCTTGTTTCTCCTCTATTGTCATCCTCACATGAGCTTTCTGGCCTTTATCCTTACCACTGGCTTTCTTGGGACTCATGGTGAGATATATAATAACAAATTGTATAGACAAATCACCAAAAATCCAACAAAACACTAAAAATCCGCGAGAAGAATTGATGTGGGGGTAGTCACTGAGCGCGAGACAATGGTAAACTGAGGGGCAGAGGGGCGACGATCGCCGAACCACCAGCGCTAGGTCGGCCTGTACGCGTATCAACAAACTCGCGTTCAAACTCGCGTTCAAACTCGCCTCCCGAAGTAACCATCGCCTTCCGAGACAAATTTTTGGAGTAAATACTGCTCGCCTTCCGAAAACCTCGCATACAGGGACAATCGCATTCCGAGGTACCACTGTACTGTAGCATCCTTTAGGTCCCAGCTTTAAGAGTAATTTATGGCCATTGTTTGGACTGTTTTGCTGGACCCATTTGTTTGTATACTCAATCCTTCCTTAAGTGATTGTTTCTTGTGCATGCATTTCTTTGCCTCACTTTTTGTGTGAGCTCTGAAAAACTGTTCACCTTGTCTTGCATAAGTGTAAAGTTTGTCTTCTCTTGATGCTTGGTGGCATTGCCTCTGCCCTGGCAGGATTGTCTTCTCTGGTGGGTTTTGGTGGTCATCTGTAAGAGGCCATTCTTCTCACTTTGAATAGTGCATGGGGGTTTGACTCTCCTGTCAGGTTCTTAGGTTGGGACAGTCATGGCCCTTCTTCTTTGAGGGGGGGGGGGCGGTTGCACTGGGGGTTTGTGTGCTTGTTTTATTGGGTGCCACTTATATAGCTGCATTTGCTCCTACACTATGTTCAGTGTTCACTGTTCTGTCCATGGGCAACAGCCCCTGTACCCACTGTTCCTGCTTGGTCTTTTCTTTCATGATCCGGTATGCACCTAGCTGTTTAGATGTGGCTCGGGATAGGCTGCTTACCCAACCTGCTCTTACTGGAAGTGAGTTGCCAGATGTACCGGTTACGTGTAAAACTTGGATTGGCTACCAGATCGGTGCCTTCAGATTACTAATTGATCCAGGCAGACCCCAGATTGTGTAACCTTTAGCATGTCTTGGTCCATGGATATGACATACATCAGGGGTTACCTGGGATTCCTGTATGATCCCACCATTCTCCTCCAAAGATTGTCTCATTGATATATTATGTTACTGTGATTTAATTGAGGAATATCCTGTTATTACAGGATATTCCTCGATCTTCTAATGTGCCATTTGTCATCCTTCCACCATCTGCCATTCCACCTATAAGGTAGGTATTCTGTCACCCAGAGGCCTGCATCATGTGCCATCACTGTCTCTTTGTTTGGGTTCTGCTCCAATTTTTGGGGGTGGTGTAGATCTCTCTTTCAATACATACCCTCCCTCTCTGGCCATTTCCTTAATTTACCAGACATACAATATACAGGGTTTGTGTGGTGTGTTTTCTGTTTGAGGCCACTTTGCAACTTATTTCTGGGGGGAGCCCCTCTGGCCTCCCGGAGCTATCCAGGTTGATATGTATATCCCTAGACTTTGTGGATAGAGTTCTAGGCCTACCAGGAACCACGAGCCAGAACCTGGCCCACTCAGAGAGGCACGAGGAGCAATGGCCTATAGAAATGCACATGTGATTTGGAGCATTCTATATCTGCCATCGACCTGGACAGGCACCCAGAAAGGTAAGCGCCCCAAAACAAACCACTAATCTGGTTAAAATGAAGAAAATAGGCAAACGAGTGGACAGAACTCCCCAAATGAAAATGAACAATCAAACATGACATCACACAAGCCGCGCTGCTTATCTACGCAGCTCCCCCCTCCCCGGGAGGGGGAAGGGGTGCCCCAGACACACCATGCCGGAGATCCAACCACTAGTTCTTAGGCTGATGTGCTTGTGGCACGGTCAGGTAGCTCCAGCTCCGGATTCTCTTGTTGTGCTGTGTCTGGTGTTCAATACTGCTCTTATGGTGGCGTGTGTGCTGGGAGTATTATTCACAGGTACTCGGGCTGCATGTGCTTAGGGTTACCTTCCCTGAGCTCCCTGTAAGTACCGCCCTTGGGGTTATCTTCCACAGGTTGCCTTGGAGCCTACTTCTGTGGTCTTTTGGTGCTTGGTGAGTGACTGCCCCGAGGGTTTTCCTCCCTTGTTTACCTTGGGGTAAGTGGTAGTTTTTGCACTGGTGGGGCATGGGGTACTGCACAGCTAGTTTTCACCTATTACAATGGCCGCCTCTGTTCCTCCTGGGTACGTTATCCTCTTGCGGGGTTTTTCTTTTACTTTTTGTTTTGGCCTTGTAGGGGGCGTCTGCTTTTGTCCCCCTTGCCCCTGTTTAGTTAGTGTTGACCTCCTGTGTTCAGTGGTACCCTCTGCTTTGCCCCTGTGAGTGGATACGTCCCGGAGGTTCAGTTTTAGCAGGGACTCTCAGAACGCTTCCATGTCTCTCCCTCAGGAGTTTCTCCTGTGGCTGCCGTCCTGCATGTGCCAGTTTCTGGGAGGATCCCAGGGCACCCGGCGATTACTCGAGTGTTTGTGCGGGAGCCTGATCTTTGTAATGATGGTCTACCCAATGGGTCAGATTAGGCTTTGTCGGCTGTTCTGGTTCCTTCAGAGGTTTTCCCTTCCGCCTCTCTCGCGATCACTGGGCTCGACCCCCGCGGGCCTTGTGCCAGCTGCTGCGTTGCCGGCTTCCTCTTCAGGTTTTTCAGGGTTCAGTGCTTTGGCGCCTACCCGAGTCCTCAGTCGATGTATTCACAGATGCGTTATCTCTTGACTGGGGCTTTGTGACCAGTGCTCACCAGGTCAGCCAGGGGTGGTGGGGTCCGTCCTTTCATTGGGCCCACAGCAAGGTGTGGGAGTTCGCAGCGGTGTGGTTTGTGCTTCTGAGGGTTCGGGTCGCCCGCGGATCGACGATCAGGCCCCATTCGGACTGCTCTCTGGTGGTTCATTGCCTGAACAGGGGGGGGGGGGGGTTGATGCAGTCCTTGGAGCTTTGGTGCTGATCACTTCGGGTGACTCGGCTGCTGAGTTCTAGGGCTTTTGGCTCTCCTGGCCGTTCACGTCCGGGGAGTGTCCAACGTCCTGGCAGACGGTCTGTCCCAGTTCATTCCCCTGTCCATGGAATGAACAGTCAATGTGGACTCGTTCCTTTGGCTCTGCCAGACGTCCAGGCACCCAGAGGTGGACCTCTTTGCGTCGGCGTAGTCGAGGCGTCTTCCGGTATATGTGGCGCCCTTCCCCAGCTGTGAGGCCGTCAGGGTCAATGCCTTTCGGCATGACTGGTCAAGGTGAGAGTTCCAGTAGCTTTTTCCCCCCCAGTTCAGCTGTTGCTCCAGGTCCTGGCTCGCTTGTAGACTTGCCAGGGAAGAGTAGTCCTTCTTGTCTCTTGGGTGGCCGACCCAGCCTTAGTTTCAGGTGCTGCTTGCTCGGTGTTCAAACCCGGAGGTTTTCCCGCGGCTCCGCCTCTTTCAGCAGATCGGCCCAGTCCATTAAGAGACTGGGTTCGGTCTTCTCCTCGAGTCTTCGCGTCTGGAGTTTTTGACTCGAGTCTATCACCATCTCTATGGTGATAAGGGTGCTCCTTTGATGGTATGGTGTCCCAACTTCGGGCTTCGTCTTGGCAGTAGTATGAAGTTTCCTGGCAGTCCTTCTGGTTCTTTTTGTCTCTCCGTTATTGTACTTCGCTTTTGGTTGCGGTTGTTTTGTCCTTTCTCTAGTGACTGTTTCAGGACCGTCGTCTGATTCCAAATATTGTCGCCTTGTATTGTGCGGCGCTGGCAGAGCTGCTTCAGCTTGCTTTCGGAATAAATGTTACTTCTGCACCATTTTGCAAGCTCTGTTTCGCCGTTGTTTCACCTCCGGCCTGCTCATGTGCCTCCTGAGTCTTCCTGGTCCTTGGACAGGGTGCTCTCGTATTTGTCTTCTCGTTTTTTTGTGGCTCCTTCGGTTCAGGATTGTTTTTCTAAGGCCTTTTCTTGTTGGCATTGACCTCTGGGGATCGGGTCAGAGAGCTTCATGCTCTCCTCCAGCGCAGGGGTTTTTGCTCTTCTAGTCGTGGTGATAAGTTTGTTCATTTGCAGCCATCTCCTTCTTTTCTGGCTCATTTCTTGAAGAATGAGACTGCTGCTTTCCGGAGGGGCCCTTGGGTTGTTGACGCTTGGTTGGTCAAACCGGGGGTTCATCATGTGTTGTGTCCGTTTGCGGGGCTCTGGCATTATTTGCGCGCCACGGCCTCAGTGGCCGGGGATTCGCTTTGGATTGATCCGGTTTCTCTTCTCTGTTCCCAGGTTCGGGTCTCTCAGGTTGTCCGCAGGGTTATTCGGTCCAGCCAGCCTGTGGTCTATCCCGTGCCCATGACATTTGTAAGTTTGCTGCACTTGCTGCCGTCTTTGGTAACATGTCTTGGGTTGACATTCAGGCATGGGGTTTTTCGCGGTTGAACAGGGTCCTGGCTGCATGCTTCCTCGTAAATGTTCCTGGGCCTAGTCGGGCCTGTGTTGCTTTGGCTCGGTGGTTGCAGCCAGTTGTCTCGACTTCGAGTTGAGATGCGAGCACTGACTGCCTCCCAGGTAAGTCCCTCTCATTTTTGTCTTTGATGAAGTAGCTCTGGGGAGCTGGAGGGGCTCCTCTCAGAAAACCAGCGTTGAATGTAATGAAACGCCATTTTCTGGCTGAGTCCCGGAGGATCTCCAGGAACTTCCCCCCCCCCCCCAGTTGGCGGTTTTAATGTTTTTTGACATCCAGCCTAAGAACTAAGAACTATTGGTTGGATCGCTAGCATTCCCATCAATAGCCTGCTGTTGGTGGGGACTTTGGGCAACTTAGTGGCACCCATTGGTACTACTGGACTCAAGCAAGTTTTAAGGGAAACAAACTGTTTCGACCGAATCATTTGTGGAGTTGTTTATCTCTTAATACTTCATTTCCTATGAACTTTGCATTTGTCTATAAAGCTTTGTCATCTTTCTGGGTACTTTGCCGGTGAGGGTGGTGATAACTATCCCTGCTTCCTGTGCCCGTGTCCAGGTTCTGGTCTCTGGTCAACCTGTCCTTCTACAAAGAACACTGCATTTCTCTCGTATGCATTACACAAGTACAAAAATTGTTGTACAGTACTAGAAAATGGAAGCGGCTGGCGAAAGTGACATACTGTCCCGTTTTCTGTTTTGGGTCCTCTGGTAGGTTAGGAGAGGACACTTTAAATTGACCGCTTTCTTGACATTGGGAAACCTTAGGAGGACGGACTGCTCTGGTAGGCCAAACAGTACTCCTGTAACTTATGTGACATGGTAGTGGTGAGGAATCTCAGCAAGGAGCCACCAAGGAGCTCCTCACAGAAATTCTGTTTTGAGTGGAGGAAAGGATAAGAATGCTGTAGATAGCTAATTCATTAATATTTATTTTTATATTTTCAGAGGTCAGCTTCGTCCACCTCGTAAAGACCAGATGGTTCCAGGAGCCAACTATGGGATGTTCAATGATCTTGGAGTGTATGGTGTGCCAAAACTGGTCAAAGACAAAAAACGTTTTGATGCTGTCCATGCGATGAGACAGATGGAAAGGTAAGGTATTTATGAAAGGACATTAACAAATACAGTACAGTACTATAATTAGAAAATAAATTACTGCAAAATTACATATAAGAGACATTACAGGTTTTATGGAATAATGATACTAAATGTTATCTAATTACTGGTTGTGTTCTGTGTGTTATTAGTTGCAATAGTTATTTAGAAAAAAAAGTTAATCAGGATTCATACAGTTTGGTGATCTGTTATCACCGATTGTTGTTTAGTAATCTTATAACTTTCAGCATAGTTTTCCTATTGTCGGGTCAGTGGTAAGTGATTTTCCTGACCTTACATTTTATCTTGAATCTTTATTACCATATAGTTGCATCTCTGTTTTATATGCCTGTTCCCACTTTCAAGGGATGGAGAGGCTTAGAGAAAATATGCAAACGATATATGGAAAGGAGGATAATGATGTTACAAAATCTAGCATTGATTTTAATAAAATGCCCTTTTCTGGTATGCTTCAGTATCATCCCAGTGCTTAAATGCTGGTACTGTAAAGCCCTGTGATCATGCCAGGGCTCTGAGACTCATGCTGACCTCCAGGAAACCAGAACCAGAATCTAGTTCTGTCAAAGACCCAAGGAAAATGTATGAATCAGAGTGAGATGCAAAAACTGAGAAAAATTGTCCAGAAAATTATAAAAGAGCTACTAAAAAATTATAAAATTATTTAGTAGCTCGCTAACACTTATTCATAGCAGTGACTGAGAGAAGAATGACTTTACTGAAAAAGAGCATAACCAAGGAAGAGGATGACAGAGGAGCAGGACTTGGGGTAGAGGAGCATCATCAGCATGCTAGATGCCAAGGCATGGCATGGAACATTCAGTAAATAGTGAGGGGGCATTGTGGCTTTATTTTTGTTTCATGAAGCTTTTCAGGGAAGGCCACCTCTGTGGCTTCCTGAGGTACCAACCTGGTAAGCTCCAACCCAGGTTACTACACCAGGCTCTAAGGTTCATAAGTACTTACTGGAAGCTAGTACCAGAATTTGGACCCCCTCAGTAAAGCCAAGGGAAGTTGGGGATACAAGGCCACCACATCAAACCAAAATAAAAATGATGAAAAAGGTAGATGTTACAAAACAAGCAACTGCAGGGACAACATTTGCATTCCTGACATAAACATGCACAGTCCTTGCAGCCGAGTTGACAGCTTGGATTTGATTCTCAGTCAAGGGAGAAACAAATAGGGAGAGTTTCTTTCACCTGGTACCTTTGTTCACCTAGCAGTAAGTAGGTACCAGGGATTTAGACAGCTGCAACATGGGGATGTGTAAGGGGAAGGGGAGCAGAAATATGTAGTAGATATGATAGGGGAAAAGTAAGTTGGGAGTCAGTACATTAGAAAAATGGTTAGAAAGGCAGGGTTTAAGAGTTGCAGCTTAATGCTGCAGGCACAAATAGTAAATATAAATACACTTATTAGCTGTAGCTCACTTGCCACCAGATGGCAGCCCAGGCCACCTGAGGGGGTTACCAACCATCCGGAGCTCATTTAGACACCAGATGCTCCCGGTATACACTGCGCTTTGGGCTCAATCTTCAGCTAAGCGTTGGCCTTTCTTTGGGCTCTTGTCTGAGCACAGGGGCCTGTGTTCATACTTGCTCCCTCTTTAGGGTACAAGGAAGGTACCCCTGCTTGAGCTTAAAAACCCCACAATACAGTTTGAATTACATTGCCCCACTTGTTCCTGCATCTCCTTGTACAATGTCTCAATCTTTAGGATGATTATTTGTTTTCATTTCCTAGTGTCTTGCCAGTCACTTGTTCCCTTAATAAAATCTTTGGTGAATCTGATATCTTTGATGTCACTTTCCTTATGTCCCTTTGTTCTTGAATTGACATCCTGAGTGATATTTAGTTCTGTTTACATATCCCACAAAATAGATGGGGTACATAACCTTTTTGCTCTGGTGCATTCTTTTGATGATAACTCGTTAGTGATGCTTTGCATTTCCCCAGTGTAAGGTGTAATTTACACTACAATGTAACTGTTATTAATTTTGTGTGAGCCTTTATGGTATAATTAATTCAGTGATTATGATGGGAGATTTTGATTATTTTTCATGTTCTAGCCTGTTGCTACGTGACCACTACTTTGTCACAATGCCTCATTTGAATTTAGACAAAACTGGAAGTCACGTACACATTTTATAGTAAATAGTTAATACCTCATAATTCAAAATTTTCCAAAGTGGTGATAGGGCTTCATCTGCTGCATCTTTGCTTACCAGTGACACTCCTCCCTCATCTTTGGCTTGTTGTGGCCAAGCCCTCCTCTCTTTTTGGTGATTGGGTTTCACCGTTTTGCCCCTCTGTGTGAGTTTCCTGGGTGTTTGGATGCCTCATAGCCAATTTTTGTGCTTTTCCATCATCAGAGCCAATTTGCTCTGTCTCGTTTAAAAGTCCCGCAGCTACACAGGGTTCACATCAGCTTCCTCAGGGCTCCAGTAAAAGGCACCATTCCCGGCTGTAAAGGTCTCGATACTGAGAGAGCAACCAAGGCTGACACATGCAGCATGAACTAACAGCACTGCTGTTCAGCTTATTGACCACAGCATCCCTAAAAATTACAAAATATATATGTGACTGCTATTATTTAGCGATGATAGTATTATCGAAGAGCCTGACTATAATAAAGACTGTGTACAATGTTCAGATATTAATGAACACAATGCTGTTCATGATGTTCACAGCACTAGGCAGGCAGCCACAGCACTCTGCCATTGTTTGGTCCATCCAAGCGTATTGAAATGACTTCTCATGTTCCTTTACAAGCTAAACTTGTGGAAAATTATTAATTTACAGGATTTAGTGACCATGATTCTGATAATAGCATTGTGGGGAAATTAGCAATGTGCATGTTGGAAGGAGAAATCTTGCTGAGTGAGGTAACGTTGTCAGCTGACTGGTGTGTTGGTGGTCGTTATGCTCTTTGGACACACCATACCAGCTTTGTGGTTCGATATGATGCAAAGAAATGTAGATAATTATATATAATATGTGTATATAGCATAATAACAGCAAAATGTGTTGAGAGGAGGTACCTTGCTGAGTGAGATAGCATCATCAGCTGACTGGTGTGTGGTTGCTGCCAGGCTGTTTGGACACACTATACCAGCTTAGTGGTTCATTATTGTGAACAAAAATTGTAGATAGTTATATATAATGTGTGTATATAGTGTAACAAGAGCAAAAACAATATTTGATCAAAGAATATGATACAGTATACTGTACTTGTCACTAGATATGAGATTAGCATATTTTTGAGTATAGCAATGTTCCACACATTTAACTATATAAATTCCTCAAATTACACACTATTTAATAATGTTACTGGAAAAAAATAATCAGAGGCATTGAAATAATTATGTAATATCTTTTTGGCAACTCCCGTCACATGGCTGGGTTGTAGTAGATCGCGCAGGGATGAGTATCATGCCAGAATTCTCGCCCTATCATGGTCAAAATATGTCACGATTCTTTTTTTTCCATCAGGTAATGCATTTTAACAATATTAGAAGGAAAAAATATTTCTTGGATATATTTTTCTTACACACAGCAGTGTTGTTAGCTATTAATAGCTGTGCACCACGAAGGTTAAGACATTAGTGCTTTCTAGAGTGGAATATTAATGCACACTAACAGCCCCATTCAAAGCTGGAGAAATTGCTGACCTGGAGAACGTGCAAAGATTCTTTACCTCTAGAATCCACTTAACCCTTACACTGCTCAGGGGTCATATGGACATTTACACCCCTGTGCGCAAGAAAAAAAAAAATTAAAAAATTTTTTTTCGTCTTCTAAACATGTTAATTTGTGTCCCCTGAGCACGGAAAAAATAAAAAAAAAAACGTAGGTGACATATTTTGGGCGCAATTGACCGAGGAAGTCTGGCAAAAAGTGGGCGTTGACAGAGCGGTCGTCAGACCCGGTCAGCGTCACCCGCGTTGACAGATGGGAGTTGCCACAAAGATATTATTACCTAATTATTTCAATGGCTCCGATTGATTTTTTCTTAGTTTTTTTGCAGTAATATTATTCAATAGTGTGTATTGTAATATATTTATATAATAAAAGTGGTTAATTATCGCTATACTCAAAAGTATGATGTGCATATTAGTGATTCAATTATTATGTTTATAAAACAATAAACAAATAGTTTTGCTGCTATTACACTCTATACACAGGTTATATATAAGTATTGGCATGTTTTGGTCACCATAACGAACCACTAAGTTGGTATTGAGAGTCGAAAAGCAACGAGGAGTTACTGCCACACACCAGCCAGCCACTCGCTGCCACTCCCTCAACACACGCACTAAACTTTCTCCCCCAACAATACCAGCTGTGGTGTTATTACACTATATACAGACGTTATATATAAGTATGTGTATATTTTGTTCATCACAACTGTTCAGCTAAGCTGATATAGTTAGTTCAGGCACTAAGAGTCGTCGCTATACACAGATGGCGGCTGGCGGCTCCCTCACTCTTTCAAGGTCACACGCACTAAACTTTCTCCCCCAACAATACCTTTTGCAGTGTTATTACCCTATATACACATATTATATATAAATATCTACATGTTTTATGAACCGTAACTGTACACCTAAGCTTGTAGAGCGCCCAAAGAGCATAGTGGCCACCCTCTAAACAGCTAGAGAAATCGTGCAGACGACGTCACCTCCGTCACCCATATGGCTCCTCCCAGCATAATCCTTTTGCTGTTATTACACTAATACACACATTATATATAAGTATCTACATTTGTGTTCACCATAGAGAACCACTGACCTGGTATGGTGAACGCAAACAATAACAGGTGGCCACACAGTCAGTAAACAATGCTGTCTCCCTCCGTCTCTCAGCATCACTCCTCACACAGCGCTAATTATTACAACAATCCTGCTATTATCACAACCCTGGTTATTTATATCACAGTCATTGGTCATCTGTAATATTGTCATCGCTAAATAATA